TGCCTGGGCATTGCTTTACAGTGCTTATAATGAACTAATTTAGCATCAGTTTCTCAGCAGATTTTTGCCTTATACTAGTGTCTATTAATTTTCCCTATTGTGTGCTCCCTTCCGCCGTAGTGAGGTCTTAAAAGAACTTTCTCTCAAAGATATGTACATACATAAATGAAAACCAGTGTTTCATCCAGGCTTTGGGACACATGCACGTAATCCCAGGACTCAGGAAGCTCAGGCAGGAGGAGAATGACAAGTATGAGGCCAGCCTGGGCTGCGTGGTGACACCCTATTTTTAAAACAAAAAACCCAAAATACTTATATTACTTACTTTATATGTTGCTGAAAAAAAAATACCTGACAAAAGCAACTTAAGGTTTATTTTGGCTCATAGTTTGAGTCTATCGTGGCAGAGACATCATAGTGGCAGGACCTTGAGGTAGCTGGTCATATCCACAGTCAGGAAGCACAGAGAGAAATGCTGCTCAGCTCCTTACCCCAGCCATGGCACAGTGCTGCCCACATTCAAGGTGGGTCCTCCCACCTGAGTTCACCTAATCTAGATAATCTTTCACAGGTATACCCAGAGTCTAACCTATCTAGATAATTCCTCTCAGGCATGCCCAGAAACTAGTCTCCATGATGATCCTAGTTCTTATCAAGCTGACAGTATAATCTATCACACATACATTTAAAAATATCTGTGAACATTGATAATGATTGAAGAAAGTGAAATTCTAGCCCATTTATTATATCATTGTATATTTCTTGTTATTGAAATATTTTACAGCTTAAGTGGAGAGATTTTTATCTGTAATGCCCAGTTCTATTAACTTAAAAGTTGGTTTGACCACTAACAAGCCTTATGGAATTTAATGTTCATTGTATTTAGAGTTTTGACAGTTTTCAGCCAGTAGCCACGCACTTTAAAAATAGATATGCTAATGTCTGCATTTGGCATCTTGATTTTTACAATCTAAGGACTTTTTAAAATCAGCCACTAGTCATTTAATAATATATATTAAATGTTAACTTTCATCATGAAGTGTATAAAACAGTACATTTATATGGTATTCTTTATAGTGTGCTCAGAAAGGTAGAAAACATTTTAGTGTCTTCAGTATGTAATCAGAGCTGCCAAATAAAGATGGCGTTATCCAAAGGCTACTCCATTGAGGTGACTATAAAATTATGATGAAAGAAATAACTATTTATATATTTCACTTCAAAGAAAAGTAATTGCATGCATTAATTTCAGTTACAAAATACATTTCAGATGTATGTGTTACAAAATGCTTTTAATGGTATTTAATAAAAAATAAACACCCTTTAGGTTAACAACGTTAGTACAGTAAGTTGGGAAATTTTACATAGCATTGCTTTTGTAATCCAGTTTTAAATTAATTCTCAGTAGAGTGGCAAAAAAGATAACAAATTGGCTCTTTCAGTAATGACTTCTGTAATATAGAGCTGTTTGTTTATATGAAGTTTTAATACATATATAAGACCTTGTAGTTTTGTCTAACATATTGGAAGATGTACACATGGTGCCCTGTAGAAGGAATTCCAGCCGTACATATTTCTGTCTGTTGATTCAGTATTCAGCTTGGTTTCTAAGGCCATTATAGTAATTGGCATGTTATTGGAAATAAAGTTAAATTTTTGCTTATTTATAGAGATAACTTCAATTTTGAAGGATGTGAATCAATTTATAGTTGGCTGAAAGCCATTTTTTCCTTCACTGTAACACCAACACACACATGAAAAGCATGCTCAAGTCCTAAGTGCCTTATGAATCTGCAGTGATTAATTCTTCTCATTATTTTGCTGCAAATTCTCATGACCTCTGCGATGATTCGATCAGCCACTTAGAGTTTATGCATATTCATATCTCTGTATTCCTGCCACCATCGTTCAGATCTCCTTCACTGACTGGGGTGTGCTTGGTGCAGTAATTGAGCTGCAGTAGATTGATTGCTCCGGGGAGCTGTAAGGCCTTTAAAGGTGAAAACGTATCAGTCCTATTAATTAGAAAACAAAGCTCTGATGGAGAGTTCAGTAGTCAGGTGTTTCCAGTATAGAAATGATGAAAGTTATGAACTGTCCCTCTCCATGCACCCTGTTTGCTTTTTAAATTTTGAATTAGATTGGTACCCATGGTTCAGTAGAATAATTTTTATGAATTTACAAAGAATGTTCATTGAAGAGCCTTTCCTAATAAAGAATACTATTTTCTGTTTTCTCTCAAATCCAATAGTTTAGAACCTGTCGGTTTGTAGACCCTCAGTACTATTGGTAAAGTTTACATAAAATACCTTAATATTTTATATAAATAAAAAATACTTAAGGATAATTTATGGACATAATTGATATATAATTTTCTTACATTAATTACCTACCAGTTAAGTGGTACACTGTTGGGGCTGGAGAGATGGCTCAATAGTTAAGAGCACTAGCCAGCTGCTCTTGCAGAGGACCTGGGTTCAGTTCCCAACTCCCACATGACAGCTAACAACTGTCTGTTGCACAGCATGGGTGCACATACACATGCAGGCAATACTCTCACTCACATAAAATATAAAAATCTTTTTTTGTTGTTGGGTTTTTGTTGGTTTTTTTTGTTTTTTTTTTTTTTTGGTATTTTTGAGATAGGGTCTCCCTGTAGCCCTAGCTATCACTATATAGACCAGGCTGGCTTTGAACTCACAGAGATCCGCCTCTGCCTCTGCCTCCTGAGTGCTGGGATTAAAGGCGTGCGTCACCATGCCTGGCTAAAAAATCATTTTTAAAAAAAGAAGTACACTGTGAACCTAGAAACTTACAGCCACTTCTGAAAGAGATGGATGCAATGAAATGCTTCTTCTAATCATGTAGTTATTTAAAAAAATATTTTTAAGTACACTATGTAGGAAAAGAGCACAAAACTATTCCACGTAGTATTTGACATAGAGTTTGAACTGCCCTGTATCTCTTTATCATCTGCATCATGGTTCTTTTAGTCTTCTTTAAAAAGGAGAGAGAGGGAGGGAGGGAGGGAGGGAGGGAGAAGGGGGAGGGGAGAGAGAGAACGAGAACACCGCAGTGTGTGTAGAGGTCAAAGAACAACCTTTCTGGAGTCAGTTCTTCCATCCTCCTTGTTTTGCAGCAGGGTCTCTTGTTTTTGCCTTTGTCCCACATGTGCTAGCTTCCAGCTGACTCTCCTGTCTTCATCTCCTATCTTGCTGGAGGATTATTAGACACATACCACTGAATCAGGCCTTTTACATGGGTACCAGGGATTGAAACTCAGGCCATTAGGTTTGTGTGACAAGCACTTTTATCAGCTGAGTCACCTCCCAGCCCAACCCTGATTCTTTTACTCTGAAATTCTATATTTCAAATGTGTCAAAAGGGGCCCTCTGTAGAACAGTGTCCCCCAAAATGAGCTAATCCAAATGTGGAGATTATGTAAACTGCTTCATTGATGGGTTCTCTTGTACTGTTTTGACATTACACTCTTCCTCCCTCGTCATATTTCCTTCGGACACATAATTCACACATCATAAAATTCACTCTTTTCAAGTTATACATTTAGGTGAGTTTTAATTATTTACAAAGTTGTGCAACTATCACATTTTAATTGTAGAACATTTTCATCACCCCAAAAAGCAAAACCCCATAATTGCCTGTTACTCATTTCTCCCTCCTCCTAAACTCTGGTAACCAGTAATATACTTTCTGTCTCTATGGATTTGACTCTTCTGGACATTTTGTATGAATGGATTTGTACTATTTGTGGCCTTTTGTGTCTGCTTTCTTTAGCACTTTTTGCCCTTTTTTTTTTTTTTTTCTTTAAGTGTATGAGTGTTTTGCCTGCGTGTATGTAAGTGTACCCTGGTTGTGCAATATCCACAGAGGCCAGAAGAGAGCATTGGATCCCCCTGGAACTGGATTTGCAGGCAGCTAGCTGCTGTCTCGGTGCTAGGAACTGAAGCCAGGTCCTCCAGAAGATCAGCCAGTGCTCTTAACTTTTTTCCCATTTTTTAATTTAGTTTTATTTTATGTGTATGAGTGTTTACCTGCATGTATGTAAGTGCACCTGTGTCATACACTGCCCACAGAGGCCAGAAGAGGGCATGAGATCCCCTGGAACTGGAATTACAGATGATTGCTAAGCCACCATGTGAGTGCTGGGAGCCAAACCCAGATCCTCTGCAAGATCAAGTGCTCTTACTTGCTGAGCCATATCCCCAGCTCCCATTTACCATGTTTTAGCCCAAATCAGCTCTTCATCCTTTTTATGGAGGAATAAAGTCTACTATATCAGTAGCCCACATTTTAATTTTCACCCACTGATGGATGAAAATTTGTATTGTTTCTATATTTTGACTATTCTGAATAGTGCTGCCAGTAATACTGATGAAATTTGGCATGTACTCTTTTAGTCTTCACTGAGTATGTTGTCAGCTATGGCTTTTCTTAGTAGTTTATTGGATATTTTTATGATGTTAGCAGATTTTGTCATGCTTTTTCTGCATCTGTTGAGATGATCATGTTTTGTTGTTCTTGTTGTTCTTTATTATTAAGGATAGACCATCAATTGATTTTTTTCATATGTCAAATGAAAAATGCCCTCTCTAGAGCTTTGTGTGGTTAGAGGGCCACTCTCGGGAGTTCTATCCTTCCATTGTGGTACCTGAAAATGGAACTCAGATCATCAGGCTTGCATGGCAAGTGCTTTTACCTGCTGAGCCATCTCTAGTCCTCTAGGGATATGGGGTACTCTGGGGGGAACAGAAGGAGGGCTGGATCCCCTGAAGGTGGAGTAACAAGTAGTTGTGGGCCTCCCAGTGTGAGTGCCAGGAAACAAACTCAGGTCCTCTGGAAGAGTAGCCACCTCTCTTAACCACTGAACCGTCTCTCCAATCCCCTAGACCTTTTACATAATAGTGGTTTTTTTTTTTGTTTTTTTTTTTACTGTTGTTATTTTAAAAAATAGGAATCAAATTCTGTACTTTATATTTCAGGCATTTATTAACACAGCAAAAGAAATTTATGAAAAAATTCAAGAAGGGGTCTTTGACATTAATAATGAGGTATGTACTTGCAAATATTGTTGACTAATATTAACTTTGAATTGACTTCTATTTTGTATTTGGGGTCATTATTTTGTATTTTTTTTTAATTCCTAAACTGCCAGTTGATCATTAGTTACCACATTAATTGGTAGTTATCTAACTGAAAGCCTGGTATGTGTGGTAGAGTAGTTAAATGCTTATGTTACCTGGTGTGTAGTATAGCAGTTAAATGTTTGTATTCTAATAGAATACCACTTCATGAAAATGTATTAAAGGAAGTGGCTCTGTCTTTATTGCAAGCAATGCAAAGTAATACAAATTCCCCAATGAACAAAGAAAATGTGCTTTTATCCACATGTCCATATGTTTTCCTCTGCTTTGGGGAATAATCTTCTAGTGTGTAAATTTGTGTACAGTGGACTAACATGCAACATGTTCTCTTTTCTGGTATGAAAGAAGGAAATTCCCAATTTGGAAACTATTCTCAGTAGAGCAAAACATGCTTTCAAGAGACCAAATTAATGCATATAATTGGTGATTGTGGTGGCTTTTTTAATGTTATCCTGAGCCCAGTTTGGTAATCCTAATTAGGACAGATGTAAAATTTTGAAGCATATGATTCAGCTGTCCATTTTGACTGAATCCTCACTCTGCCTTCATCCTCATTTCAAATGCTTTCGTGAATGGAGCATGCTATTTACTTCTGCATAAGCCGTTCTGTTACTGTGTTTGAACTTCTAAGAGAAGCCATCATGGACATTTGTCTGGGCCTATGCAGAGATGAGGCTCTGTTATTTGCCTCAGTAGTTCTCTGCAGTTTGCCTGAGGTTTTTATAAAGTACTTGATTTTCCTTATTCTTTTTTATTTGGAATTAGTTTCAAAATCTTATCTTTTAGATTTATATGGCAGTACTTCTTGAGTTAATTTCAGGATGACACCATTCAAAAACTAATGCCCTATAAATTAAACAGTAATTGGGCCTCTGTTTAAAAGGGCATGTTTGCTGTTTCTGTCGGGTTTCATATAGTAGCTGACTGCTTTACTGAGCTTTCTTCAGCTTTGATTGTAATGTGCTGTCAGGAGCCAACAGGCCGTGCTATTTATTTGGCCCAATGCCAAGAATGACTCCTTGATTCCTCAAGAAGTTGCTAGCAGCCCAGAGGGGGCAGAACCAATGAGCCATAGGGCATGCTTTTTATTAAAGAGGAGTCAAAAGAGCGAAAAGAAACCACATCAGCCACTGTCAATACTGAGCCAGTGCCAGAAACCCCAAGGCTACTACTGTTGCAGCATAACTGCCAAGCACCGTAAATCTGAGATTTACTGTGATGCAGAGTTTCCTTAAGAGCTTAATTTCTGGAGCTACTGTATTACTTTTCTCAGAGTGTTGTATTTTTAGGTAAAATCCACTTGAGGGAGTGAGGGTTAAGGCATAAGTGTGAGTTTGATGAATGAAAGAACTACTCTGTGTGTGGGTTCTTGGCAACCTGCCATGTCTTTGGGGATCATAGAAATTATTGATGACACAGAACACTCATATCCCCTTAGCCTGTACAGCTGATTCAACATGGAGCAGAATACTGTCTAGAGGAAAGATTTTACGTCCTGTTAGAGCAGTAAGAGCTTTGGATATTTTTATTCCTTGCAATAATTGTTATCAGTGATGTCTTCATTATGATGAGAACTCCCTGAAAAGCAGCATTGTCTGATTTCTGTTTACCAATATGATAAAGAATTATTTTCAGGATCATTTTCACAGTGTTTTTCAAAAGAAGGCACTGCTTTCTTTTCGTAAAATCTACTTAATATATTTTTCAAAGTTGTTTGGCAAAATTGAATCACTAAGACTTAGGTGAATTTTAAAAAAAAAAACAAATTCTACTTGGTCTGCTGTCTGGTTGAGTCCACTTATACTTACGATCCTGTTTTCTTTTACCTCAGGCAAATGGCATTAAAATTGGCCCTCAGCACGCTGCTACCAATGCAACACACGCAGGCAACCAAGGCGGACAACAGGCAGGCGGAGGCTGTTGTTGAGTCTGTTTTTAGCATCTGGCCACCCAGTGGAGCTGCGCACTCTGTCACCCTCTCTCCTCATGCTCAGCTGAGACATGAAACTATTTGAAATGGCTTTATGTCACAGGAGACTGTAATCCTTCAGATTCTTGTATAACTTTGAGTAAATGGTTAATGTTCACTTAAAAAGACAAATTTTGGAGATTGTATTCATATCTATTTGCATTTGCATTCATAGCTTCTAACCTAAAAAAAAATGTACCAGGAAAGTCAGAAAAAGAAAACTCCATACCATTATTCTGATGAATAACATTCTTACAAGGATGTGTTAAAAGATTAGCATTGACCTTCAGTTGAAGAAATCTTGAGAACTCTTTGATAGTAGACTTCATTGCAAAAGAGCAATGAAGAAATCTTAGGAGGGCAACACTTAGGGGAGCCTGCAAAGTTGCTAGCAACCAGGGAGGACAGCAGGAGGGCAGAGGCTGCTGTTGAGTCTGTTTTTAGCATCTGGCAGCCCAGTGGAGCTGCACACTCTGTCACCCTCTGTCCTCATGCTCAGCTGAGACATTGAAATGGCTTTATGTTACAGGAGACTGTAATCCTTCAGATTCTTGTATAACTTTGAGTAAATGGTTAATGTTCACTTAAAAAGACAAATTTTGGAGATTGTATTCATATCTATTTGCATTTGATTTCTAGGTCAATTGATGTGATTATTTTTGTTAAATGTTTGTCTTGTGCCCTTAACTACGAGCTGAATTGTATTAAACACTACAGTCATCGTGAGTATTTTAAATCAGTTTGTGTGGTTAGGTTTACCAACAGCTGTGGTTACCTAATGTTTAATATGATAGGACTGTCCTCAAAAAATGTGTCAATTTTCAAGGCTATAAGGAAAAACAGAAGGACTCTTTTAATTCTGTATTTATCATTTACTTTCTGTATATATAGTTTAATAACCTGCTTGGGTGTAATTTGCCAAGCTTGAATTCTTTAATGCATTTGCATAAATTCTATACTGTCTAGAGCTTAGAGCTACAGAGGCTTTGTTAGGAGTTGCTTGGACACTGACTTAAACTTTTTGACATTGTTAACAAGCATGTTCATCTTGTCACTAGTCCAAGAAAAATATGCTTAATGTACATTACTAAAGGCTGTGTATGTGTTAACCTGTTTTAATGCCAAAAGTTTGCTATTTGTCCACAACTTCTTAAGACCTCTTCAGAAAAGGATTTGTTGGCCTTAATGAGTGCTGTTGGGTAAAAGCACATAGAGCAGTGGGAAGAGCAGAGCAGAGATCCCCACCTTGAGTGACTCCGAATGAAACCCACATCCAGAGGGCACACTGTTGACTAATCTTCCCCTAAACACAATAATGTCTTCTTTTATTCACACCATTTCTAGGTATATTTTTCATGCAGGACAGTTTGTCAACCTTGATGTACAGTGACTGTGTAAAATTTTTCTTTCAGTGGCAGCCTATCTATAATCTTTAAAATATGGTAAGCATCCTGTCTGTTTTGAGGGAGATATGAAAATAAATCTTCCAGATGGAAAATCCTGTTAAAAAGTAGAAAAGCTTTAGTAATCTACTCCGTGTGGTGGTTTGATCCTTCTTTTCCTTTTCTCCCTTGGTCTATACAATGAAATTGTTATAGCAGTGCAAAATAAAACTCTATGTATAAAAGTGTCCTTTTTTATGATGGCCACGGGTTTTTTTTAGTATTTTGTAGTCCATTAACAGCTTTTACGTGTATTTAAGCATGTTTTCCTAAAGGGTCAGAATGTTTAACACTTTACTCTTATGAGAATGTGATAAGACACCTCGCACAAGAACGTGTGTGCCTGTACGAAAGCTTAGGAAGCTCCGAGTTAGGAGCGCTGCCACTCCTGGTTTGCTCGTGCGGTCCCACTTCCTCAAGCTTTTCCTGAAGATCTAGGAGTCCTGTCACAGCCTTGATGTTGCTCTTGGGGGATCACCAGACGCTGCTGCCATTGTTTCACTTCTGGAGGGCAGAGGGAAGGATGAAGAGATCTAGTTTCATGAGTGTTTTTGTTTCTAGCCTTTTCTTCTTAAAGTGGTCATAACAATCTACTGACCTCAATACTCAGTTTTTATTGATGCATAGAAAAAGTCAAAACAAAGTCAGGCATGGTGGCACATGCCTTTAATCCTAGCACTCGGGAGGCAGAGGCAGGTGGATCTCTGAGTTAGAGGCCAGCCTGGTCTACATAGTGAGTTCCAGGCCAGCTGAGGCTACAGGGAGACCGTGTCAAAAAAAAAAGATTTTTCCATACCTTATCCCCCTACTTCTTTCCTAAATCAAATATAAGAGAAATGAATGGTAAAGATAACAGCAAACTGGTGTATGTATTTAATACCCCAACCAAGACGGATCCCCTTCTGCCTTGGCCAGTGGGAGCCCCAGACACTGGAATGCTCTGTAGCTCACTTCCACTCCCTACAGAACTCACCATCACTGACAGACATAAGAACTGACAGAGCAATAAGAATTTGTGCTTTCCACTCCTTGCTCATTTTATTGTCCCTGTTACAAATAATGTAATATTGGTACCTGCATTTGGATCATACCATAATTGTGTTTCTAATTGATCTTGGATCCATTTTTACAGCACTTATGGCCATATTTTAATAATGAGAATCAGTCACCGGGCATGGTGTTGCATGCCTTTAATCCCAGTGCTTGGGAGGCAGAGGCAGACCTGGTCTACATAGTGAGTTCCAGGTCAGCTGGGGCTACAGGGAGACCCTGTCTCAATAAGACAATATAATAAAAAGAAGAATTGGTCATGGAAACAAGTACAGCTCTAATGTCTCAGCATGTAACACTCCAAAATTGCAGTCATCAATAAAGACCTTGTTACCATTTGTCTTCTAACTTTTAAGACAAATGGATGAAAGAGTGGCATATAATTAGATGTACAATCTAGCTGTCTGTAGGAACTGAACTGAATATTTTGTTGTTAGTTGTGTTTTGTTTGAAACATCTGTGTATCTATCCCAGGCTGGCCTTGAACTCATGCTCTGCCTCAGCCTCACAAGTGACTGAAATTACAAGTATGTGCCACCACACTCAACTGACCTGAAATTTTAACTGTTTTTAAGGACATTCTAAAATAGCCAGTTAATAGGAAAATAGGACCAGTGAGATGGCTCAGCGGGTAAAAACACTTGCCATGTGAACCTGACAACCGGAATCCAGTCCCCAAGAGAACTGCCTGGAAAGCTCATGACCAGCTAACGTGGCATACAGAGCCACGCAGAAATGAGAGACCCTGCCTCAAGGGGGAAGGAGAGCACCAACGCCTTAAAGTTGTCCTTTGACCTCCACACATGCTGTGGCTCACATGTGCCCACCTCCTCATACACATTTTAAAAACAGGAATGTAATCCTTGTTTGCTAATTGTCAAAAGGTTAGTAAGGTAAGTAGTATCACAATATGTCTAAATCGCTCAGAAAAAAAATGGTTTATGCCTGGCTTTGGAAGAGGGTTTTGAATTGGGGACGATAAACTAACATCTTAGATGTGCTTTGGTATTCAGTTAAAATACAGCCAACCCAATATGGCTCATGCCATTGCTATAATGGTAGATATCACTTACTGGTTGAAATCATAATAGAAAACTTTTAAAGTGTCCACGTACATATTAATTAGTTTTACAAAATCATGAAGCCCACTCTTAAATATTGAAGACAAAACTCCAATAATAAAATGGGATGAGAGATGAAAACAGTTCACAAATGGAAAGTTTATTTTAGGAATTCAAACGTGGTTTGGGGATGTGGCTCAGCGGTATAACATTTCTAAGTATGAAGCCTGAGTTTAATCCCTGGTATCCAAAAAGAAAAATTAATGTTTTTAAACAATGTGGTTGATGGATATGTTGGTTTACATTGCTGTCATGGCATTTTTAACTTGCATAGTATTGTATACCTTAGATATACATAATAAAAAAAATTTAAATAGAGGACTGGTGAGATGGCCTAGTGGGTAAAGGCACCTGCCACCAAGCCTGACACTGAGTTAGTCCTCAAGTCCCACATGGTAGAGAACCAGCTCTCACAAGTTGTCTTCTGACTACCACAGGTGTGTGCCACTCTCACACACGCACAAAAGTAAATTAAAATAGAATTTAAAATTTCAGTTTAAGTACAAAATGAAAGTTAAAGCCAAGTTGGTATTTCTCACCTGTGACACTGGAAAAACAGGTCTTCTGGAGGGGAACATGGCTTCACATACGTTGCTACTGACAGCAGTTCTGAGACCCCCCCCATCTTGATGGCATTAGCAGTGCTGAAGTGCATGTACACAGGCTACTCTGCAGCACTGGTAACTGCAGACACTGGAAATGACCTATGGGACAGTGATTGAATAATGAGCATCCCACAGTGGAGCCCTGCACAGATAAACCCCTTCATCCCAGAGTCCACTGAAGAGCAAACCCAGTTTCACCTCCACTTTAATTCCCTTTCGTTTTGCAGCATGATGTGTTCATGGGTTCACAGGACTTTGGAGGTCATTGTTCTCCCTGCCACATCCAGTTTCTCATTAATCATACTGTGTGTGTGTGTGTGAGAGAGAGAGAGAGAGAGAGAGAGAGAGAGAGAGAGAGAGAGAGTCTCCACCCCAGCTGGCCTGGAATTCACTATGTAGATCAGGCTGGCCTCAAATTTAGAGATGTGCCTGCCTCTGCCTCCCAGATGCTGGGATTAAAGGCATGCACCACCATACCCAACCTCATTAATCATATTTTTTAAAGAAAAACTCATGTTAGCACTTGCCAGAATATCAGTTGATTTTCCCTCTCTTGGGTACCTTTGATTTGATCCATAAAATGCAGGTACTCCAAAAGGAAGAGGAAGTGTGCAGCTATTTGTGGGTGGAGATTACTATAAACTTTTTAGTAGGTAGACCGAGCTTCGGTGAAAGATACTTCTTTGTACCTGTGAAGCATTAAAAATATTCTCAGGAGCCAGACATGGTGGTGCACACCTTTAATCCCAGCACTTGGAAGGCAGAGGCAGGCAGATCTCTGTGAGTTCAAGGCCAGCCTGGTCTACATAGCGAGTTCCAGGCCAGCTGGGGCTACAAGGAAACCCTGTCTCAAAAAGATAGGAAAAAAAAATTCTCATGATTCTCGTGTAATTAGGGAATCAAGAGTG